TTTTTTTCCTGAAAATTTTTGAAAATTTGTGTTTWATTTATTCTCTCAAATTATAAATATGCTATTAAAGTAACATGTCTTATCTGTTAGGTTTTGGTAGAAAAGAAGTTGTAGAATACTTGCTGCAATGTGGTGCTGATGTGCATGCAAAGGATGATGGTAAGGTTTGAGGAAATTACAATGATCAACACCTACATGTACAATGCACAGTGTTATGTACTATTTAGACTCAGTGCACAAAGAATGGCGACATGGCAAATATTCTGTTGCTTAGGCAAAACAAAGTGCAGAGTTTCTGTGTGAATGCAACTGCTGGGCCAAATATAGTACAATGACTATAGTTCAAATTACATAATTAGGGGTATAGAATGGTTAAATCCTAGCCTATCCAAGACTGCGAGGCCCTCGTTTTAAAATTCGAGCCGGAGCCTTTGGCTGAACGAGTCTGATATTTCGGCAGGGCTTTCAAGCCAATGAGGCCCTTTCTTGTAAGCTCTGAGCTTGCGAGCCTTGGAAAATTTTTGGCGAGCCTCACGATTTCTGAGAAACTATTCTATACCCCTTACATTTAGCAACTGCTAACAGGAATCATTATTCATGAAATAATAATAAATATTAGTTAAATCAACAACAATAAAATAAACTCACAACAACTAATGATAATAAATGATATATTGATAATATATTGATAATATCTGTAGGTGGTTTGATTCCTCTCCACAATGCATGTTCATTTGGTCATGCTGAAGTAGTCAAGATACTATTAGGTCATGGTGCTGATGCTAATGCCAGGGATAACTGGAATTATACTCCACTACATGAGGCGGCTGTCAAGGGAAAGGTTGATGTTTGYGTTGGTGAGTGAAGCAAATTCTGAGCCAGAAAGTGTCAGTTAAAGTACTACTTAATAKTACATTGTCTGGGGACCAGTATCATCATAGTTAGTCTCCTATCACAATACTATTGCAATAGAGTGCATGCAGTATGTCTGAAATACCATCAAAGTTTTTAGTGACTATAATATAGTTGATAGTTGAGCACTATTGGTCACTATAACCCAACCAGGACAAATGAATTTAGAGACTCCACAAACACAAGACAATGTGAACAAAAGCTGAATTCGTTTGTTCTGGTTGGTTGATAGTGACTAATAGTGACTAACTAATGACAATATAGTCACTAAAAGCTTTGATGATATTTCACAGACATATTGCGTGCACTCTACTATTTCAACAATGATTTATTGTGATGCTATGATACATGTAGTGATAGGCAACAACTACATTTGTATAACGGGTATTTCGACAGATTGCTTAAATGTTACTCCATATCTGTTTTAGTGTTGTTACAACATGGTGCTGACCCCAACATCAGGAACACTGATGGAAAGACAGCATTAGATGTAGCRGAGGCTGCTKCCAAATTAGTACTTACAGGTATAAACATGATGTATTAGCTCTGTTGTGTCTCATCTCATTCAAGTATATTAATTTTTACCCATTTTAATTTGCAGGGGATTACAAGAAAGATGAATTACTAGAAGGAGCAAGAAGCGGCAATGAAGAAAAACTAATGTCTTTGTTAACCCCTTTGAATGTAAACTGTCATGCAAGYGATGGTAGGAAATCAACTCCACTCCATCTTGCTGCAGGCTACAATAGAGTAGGGGTGGTYCAGTTACTATTAAAACATGGAGCTGATGTACATGCTAAAGATAAAGGGTAAAGACTATTTTAATTTATTTCTTAATTATAGAGTGAAGAAAAAACATGAAATAGCTAGATATTACATAAATGAATGTCATTAATGAATGTCATTTACATGTACTCGTTATATTTTCATAATTTCTATACATTTTGCAACCTGCACCGTAAAAGGGGGTGGCTAGCCACCAAAAGCACTTCCTGGTCCATAGTAAAAGTCAAAATATGATGGTCATAATTATATTAAAAGATTTCATGTTATGTGAAAATATTTCATTCTTATTGTTTTGTTTTTTATCAGTGGACTTGTACCACTACACAATGCTTGTTCATATGGACATTTTGAGGTTACAGAGCTTCTCATAAAAGTAAGAGTCTAAAATGACATTGCATTCTTTCGCTCACAATTTTTTATTCTATAGCATATAGTACAATAGTTGTATTATGATAAAAAATGATAAAAAAATACAAGAGAATAAACTAGGGAAGAAGTGGAGGATGCATGAGAACAACCTGAACAAGCTTATGCACCCTACGAAAATTAATAAAAAAAGAAATAATCGTAAGAGGAAGTGGCTGATCCCATTAAAGAGTGCTCAATACACATAAAGTGTAGAGCTAGTTATATATATGATATCAAAGAGGCAAGATTTTGCTGTATTAAATTAAATACTGTCTGATGAGTGTGTAGCACGAAACTCGGAGTTACAGCAAAATCTTGCCTCTTTGATATCATATATAAAAAAAGAAATAATAAACTACAAATGAGAATGCTAGGTGCATTGTGCAAGTGTTAATGCCATTGCCATTTCTATATTTCTCATGATTTCTGTTATTCCCTTGATTTTTGTTTCCTTCTAGCATGGTGCAAGTGTTAATGCCATGGATCTTTGGCAGTTTACTCCACTACACGAGGCTTCTTCTAAAGCAAGGTATCTAGGAATATGAGAATGTCTCAAATTCTTTGTTACCAAAAATACGTCAGGTGTGATTATTTTCTGCTCTATATCATGATTAGGCTTAAATCACACTTGAGTATTGATATTTATCACATAATAATCCATGAAATACTAGATAATTTCTCACTTTCAAAAATAATTGTGACAGTGGTGCTTCCTATATATTAGAGGTACTGCAAATAAGTTACTTTGGAAACACAATTTGCTCTCACAGATAATGTAATATATAATGATAAACAGAATATGTAGAATATGGCAGCTTGGAGACATGAATTTCATCTTCTCTTGTTGAAAATCTCTCACTCCTTCACGACGCTTACTTGTGAGAGATCTTTTTGAACACTCAAGGATAAAATTGGTATCTCTAGTACCCATAAAATATCATCTAAAATGGCCTTTTATTCACACATGTATGGTTACATCGTTACTGCAGTTGAATGCAGTATATGAAATATAATGTGAATTACTTGAACTGCAAACTAATCAATCTTTATATGCTTTTTTCACATTCAAAACAAGCAACCACTGTTTAAGTTGACAACAGTCTCTGATTTGCAGAGATCTTACCAAAAACAAAAGAAAGCACAGAAAAATGTTGTCATTACAATAGTCCAACAAATTTGCATTTTCTCCAATGTGAGGATAAGCCTGTATTCCCAGAAGGCTTATACTCTCAGAGGTCTTCTCCACGGACTACAGGATTAGCCTCAAATCTGTGAAGGTTAACTAGAGCTAACTAGAAAACTTTTAGTTAATTTAGCTTCCAGGCTCAAAAATAAGTACTCTTTTCTCTGATCGGTTTAAAATTCATATAAAATGTGAAAGGAGTATTTACTTTAATAGAAATTATCATTGTAAATAAATCTTGAAACTGAGCAATAAAAATATTGTATTGTATTGTAACGTTCAAATTTCTAGAGCTATTGTTAGTAATATAAACATTTTTTGTTCTTTTTGTTCTCTATGCAAGTCATTATGTTGTCTACTAAAACAGTGGTCACTCTCATTGAATGGGAAAAAGACTGATTAGTCCTAAATTTTACTTCTGTAGGGTTGAAGTATGTTCATTGCTGCTCAGCCATGGTGCAGACCCAACACTGTTAAACTGCCATTCTAAAAGTGCTGTAGATGCTGCTCCAAGTAAAGACCTGCAAGATAAGCTCCTAGGTACAGAACATTGACAGATAGTCTGAATGATACAACTGCACTAGGGCTGGCTGTATGAAGGGTGGATAATGTTTTTTTGCCACAATTATTTCTTATTTTCTTAATTTCCGACTAGTCTTGTGTTATGTTAGTTGCATATTTTCACACCTCCTTGAATGCATCCTCTGGATGGACTACATTGTAATTAAAATATATTTGTGCATCAAAAACTCTTTTTAAGAGTAGGGTTTAGGAATAATTTGTGTGGGGATAGCATAGGGTTTGTGTGGGGATAGCATAGGGTTTGTGTGGGGATAGCAGAGGGGATTTTCTAACCAGGTCTGTGTTTCATATTTCAGGTGAATTTAAAGGTCACCAGATATTAGAAGCAGCAAAAGCCTGTGATGCGAACAAGATAAAAAAACTTATCAACCCAGATAGTATTAATTTTAGACATTCCATTTCTCTGGACACTTCACTGGTAATTAGCTTTAATCTAGTCATTGTGATTAAATTGTGGTATAATTGTTTTAGTCCTTGCTCTAAGTTGAGAAAAGAACATAAAAAATCAACTTTTCTTAACATTTTGCAAGTATTTTCACTTTTCCTGATGTGACAGTGGTATAACAAGAATATACTCTATAGCCAATCAGATTGCTGGATTTGTGAAGTAGATAATTTGATGGATGCTAATATTTATTAGTTTAATTTATTAGTTTAATATTTATTAGTATCCACATACTGGTGCACTGTTTCAAAGATCCTGCATTCTGGTTGGCTACTCTACTCATGGTCTATTTCTCATATCCTTAGAAGCCAAAGAAATGTTTGATTTATTTACAAGATTCATTTTTTCTTCAACTATTATYGTTTTGATTTTATTTTTAGCATATAGCTGTGAGTTCATCATCACCTAAGAGAAAAAATATCATTGAAATCCTTTTGAAGAAAGGAGCAGACCCAAACCTGCAAAATAAAAGGTAAAACTTGTGACAGCTTTTAAAATACTGYTTATTACCTTGCCTTATGCTGTACACACCTTGTAGCCCTTTTTGGTAAAGCAGCGTTCTTAGWTTCCACTTGTCACTGAGGTATATTTAAGCAATAAACGATAGCTTGAACCAGTGTACTGGTGAAATAAACTGTGCGGGATAACGAGAAAAGATATATAAATCATCATTTTTAAAGTTTTGTTCTGTATGTTGTTGTAGTTGCTTCACGCCTTTACATGTAGCATCTGAGAAGGGCCACCATGATGTCATGGAATTGTTACTCAAACATGGAGCAAAGGTGAACGTCATGGATGGTAATGGTCAGACTCCTCTTCATCTAGCAGCCATAGCAGGACAGGCTCAGTCTTGTAGAGTSTTGATGGCTAATGGTGCTGACCTRACAGCACAGACGTACCAGGGTTATACCGCTATGGAAGTAGCAGCTGAACCGGCACAGAAGGTGCTGCATATCCATGGTAAGGGGGCAAAGGGGGTTCGCCTATACATTGTAAGGAGGCAAAGGGGTTTCGCATATACATGGTAAGGGGGCAAAGGGGTTTCGCATATACATTGTAAGGGGGCAAAGGGGTTTCGCATATACATTGTAAGGGGGCAAAGGGGTTTCGCATATACATGGTAAGGGGGCAAAGGGGTTTCGCATATACAT